ACGTTGTTTTTGAAGATCCAGCCACGATTCTCTCTCTCTCTCTCTCTTTCTCTCTCCGAATTCTGAACGAGAGCGGGATGGGAACGAGATTTGAAATTTGGGAGCCGATCTCATTCTTTTGATCCAACGTCTATTATCTGACAATTGTAGATCCGACGGTCTGTGTGATTTTAAATTCAGCTTTCGTTTATTTGACCGAATTAGCCGTATCCCTATATATAAAAAATAAATAAATAAATATGTATAAAATTATATGAAATGTAAATATATTTTATTTATTTTTTATTTTTATTTTTTTAAATATATTTTTAAATCTCTCAACTAAACACAAAATTAAAAAATTAGAATTTTAATAATAAAAGAAAAATTGGAGGGTCCCTAACAATCTATCCTATTTCTTTTCTAAATAATTAAAAAATTAATTTTCTATTTTAGGAAGTTACATTTTCAACCACTTTTTCCAACAATACTCTCTATTCTTTCTATTTGATTTAAATATTATGCATTCATTATTTTTTTATTTAAATGGTAAAAAAATACATTTCTTTACTATTTTTTAGTTAAATTGTAGACAAATTATAAAATATTATTGAACAGGCAATTGGACATGTGGTGTTTCCAGATTATTAGATGATTTCTGATTATTAAGAACCCAAAATCAAAATTTTAAAATTAAATAAATAAAAATCCAAATAAAAAGCAAAAAAAAAAATCTAGTAATTCATTCTTTTCAAATAATGATTATAATCAATAAATAAACCAATCATGATTGATTCGAATGATATATAAATTCTTTCTCTTTTTTTTTAACCGTCAATGCCATATTGGAACAAAATAATAATTTTATATGTTTAGAGAAGCTATAGTGATTCCGTATAAATGGAGAGGGGCTATAGCAACCCTTATATTTGCGAGTTGGATAAGAAACCGCTGGGGTGTTTTTTGACCCAAAAAAAAAATGTCTTGTTTGTTTTGTTGCCTGCGTAAGTGGTAGGAGTGGACTATGTTGAGTTAGATTCACTTATGGAAAATCTGGATTCCCCTCTCTCCAACACTAGTTTGTCCAGCACTCTCTAGCTATGTCTAGGATATGAAGGCGCGTAGCAAGGCGAGAGAGAGGCCAAGTTTTGTGCATACCAGTTGATTGCCCAGACGACTATCCAAATGACCGGTATAACACTTGTCTACCACGGTTATCACCCTTGTTGACCATCTCTGCCACCTTGTTGCCTAACGACCAGCAAGAGAGTGCAGGATAATGATAGGATTGAATAGTGCTGAAGAGGAGGCGAACCCTAGAAAATCCATGGAATGATTAATACTCTAAGAGCATGTTTGTTTTGAGGGATAAGGGTGTGGGATTCGACTATTAGTCCCACCAAACTAATAGTCCATTGTTTGTTTGTAAAATTTTGCTCCGGACTAATAATCCCCTCGTACTATTAGTCCCACAAATATGGGACTATTCTATCCCATGGGGGGTGTGGGATAGAAACCATGAGATTGATATCCCATGGGATTATTTGGTGAAATGTCCATTTTACCCTCCATGCTATTACTTAGTAAACAATTAGAAAGGGTAAAATAGTCTTTTGAACATTTATAAATTATTTTTTTAGTGTTGTTAATTTAAAATTATATATTAAATAAAAAAATTAAATTATAAATTATAAATTTAATTTAATTAAAAATAATAAATTAAAAATTATGGCCTTATAAATTAATTTTTTTTAGTGTTGTTAAAAAATTAAATTTACATATTTCTCTAAAATTATTTTTTTAGTGTTGTTAATTTAAAATTATATATTAAATAAAAAAATTAAATTATAAATTATAAATTTAATTTAATTAAAAATAATAAATTAAAAATTATGGCCTTATAAATTAATTTTTTTTAGTGTTGTTAAAAAATTAAATTTACATATTTCTCTAAAATTATTATTTTAGTGTTGTTAATTTAAAATTATATATTAAATAAAAAATATAAATTATAAATTATAAATTAAATTTAATTGAAAATAATAAATTAAAAATTATGGCCTTATAAATTAAATTTTTTTAGTGTTGTTAAATTATAAATTATAGATTACAAATTTAAAATTATATATTAAATAAAAAATATAAATTATAAATTATAAATTAAATTTAATTGAAAATAATAAATTAAAAATTATGGCCTTATAAATTAAATTTTTTTAGTGTTGTTAAATTATAAATTATAGATTACAAATTTAAAATTATATATTAAATAAAAATTATAAATTACAAGGATAAAATAGTCTTTTGAACATTTATCCTTATCCAGTCCGTCTAACCAAACATTGGATTCATTAAAAATAGTCCAATCCAGACATCTAATCCCATGATTAAACAAATATAGGATACAAATCCAGTCCAACCAAATAGTCCGGGGACAATATATCCTGGGACTAACAGTCCGATGGATTACAATCCCCCCTTATCCAGTCCGTCCAAACAAACGCACCCTATTCGGATTGCGGGGGATTAGGGGGAGACTATTCACCATTCGGATTGCTTATCCGAAGGGTGAATAACCCATCGTTTGTTTTTTTTTAGTCCGCCGAACATGGAGTTCGGCCGAACTTCTTGTCCCCATACGGGGCATTATACTATCCCGGGAGGGGTGTGAGACAGTTTGGGAGGACAATCTACTGTTGGGATTGGGTGATAAAATGACTATTTTGACCTTCTACTATTTAATTATATATTATATTTAGTAAAATTTTAAAAAAATTAAATGTCTCAATTTAAAAATAAAATAATTTTATTTAACTTTTTATTGACCAGCGGATCAACAATCTACTACAGTGGCTAGACTATCTCACCTGTGGGGGCACGGGATTGATACTTAAGTAGCAAAACACAAAAATAAATTATTTATTTTTATGTATTTTTATATTAATTGAGCTTAAAAAGTACAAAAAAATAATAATTATAATATTAAAAATTAAAAATTAAAATTTATTAATTTTATATATTAATACTAATCTTCAACTTAATATCACCACAGTACTAATTCCCTCATTTAATCCCACTGTACTCATAATCCCTTCAAATTTAATCTGCCAAATAAACATAGCCAAAACTTGTTATTTTGGCTAAAAAGTAAGTATACAAGGGATCTGTTGGGAATACTTTTACACACCCCCTTCCCCCCATTAGTTTTATATTTTTTTTACTTCAACCTTTAAATTTTTTTGTTCACTTTAACCCCTAGCGTTTGTATCTCTCTTTTTTTTGTGAGTAAATTACAAATACGCCTTTTGAGACTTGCTTAAAATACGTATTGTTTCTTGTGATTTGAAAAATTACAAATACCGTCCTGTCATAATTTTTTTATTTAACAGAATTAATTGAAAAAGTGAAATTTATAACTGTTTACCTATACAATAATAAAATTATTCGAATTATTAATTGAAATAAAATTTTAGCTTTATTAAAAACTGTTAATTAACTTGATAATTTATTAATAAAAAGACCTATTTGTTATGAAATTAAAAACCTTAGGAGGCATAATGTAATTTTTAGAATCACATGAGTAATTTGTAATTTAAGTAAATCTCAGAGTGTGTATTTATAATTTATCCTCTTTTTTTTTTAATTTATCCAATTTTAGATGAAAAATATCACGTGGGCAACCATGTGGCCCTAGGTAGTAGAATTGATAAATTACATTTATCTTTTTAAGTTTCACAGTTTCTCATTTTCACTATTATTTTTTTCTAAATTTCGCTATTAATATTTATAATTTTTTCCAATTTACTTCTAAAACCAATTTTTTTCCAATTTTAAGGCTCAAAATTTAAAATTCAAAACCCAAAACCTAAACTCAAATTTTAACCCCCATCTCTTTCTCCTCTTCAAATTCCCTTAAAAACTTCCGATACTCCTTCAACTTCCAACATGCCACTATCACTCTAGTCTCTATCTCCAAATCTCCCCTCTCCGTCCATTTCTTTCATTGTCCCGCCTTGTATCACGACCATTCATTCATAAACACCCAAACATCCTTTTGTTTGGTTGAGTTTTTATAAATAATTTACTTTCTGATAAAGTTTAAAAATTAGTTTGCTGCAAAGATGACTTTCTCATGGAGGCGCAAGAATAGTTTTTGTAAATTCAAAATATATTTGCTTGTAATTGTTTTTGGAATAATTGCAAAAAAGTGGTATATAAACTCAAAATATTGCAAAGGGATTGAAATACAAGACTTGCACAATCTAACGCATAAATTGCTTGTACTTTCATGACATGCAATTATTTTAAGTTGATACAATACAAAAATATACTAATTATTTTCATATGACAATCTCCACAACAAAAACTATAATCCATTTCCATGACTTAGGCTTAGTTTGGGAAGATTAAATAAGTGCATTTTTTGACTTTTTATGAAATATGAGTTGGGTTTGAGTTGAGTTTGAAGTGATGTGTTAGAGAGGTGATGTGACTTAAATAAGATGATGTGACTTAAATAGGATAGTGACTTTTTGACTTTTTATCTTTTTTTATTGCAAAGGGATTGAAATACAAGACTTGCACAATCTAACGCATAAATTGCTTGTACTTTCATGACATGCAATTATTTTGAGTTGATACAATACAAAAATATACTAATTATTTTCATATGACAATCTCCACAACAAAAACTATAATCCATTTCCATGACTAAGGCCTAGTTTGAAAAGACTAAATAAGTGCATTTTTTAACTTTTTATAAAATATGGGTTAGGTTTGGGTTGAGTTTGAAGTGATGTGTTAGAGAGGTGATGTGACTTAAATAAGATGATGTGACTTAAATAAGATAGTGACTTTTTGACTTTTTATCTTTTTTGTCTCATGCCAAACTTGGCCTTATAAATTAAACAGATAAATCCTGCTCAGTTTATATAACTCACAAATCACGCAATATACTGGATTAAACACTAACATTCCTTGTTCACTGCACTGTATTAACCACTGACTTCCAATAAATAGAATAAAATAAAATATCCAAGCAGGATTAAATAAATAACAGCATATTATCTTACCTGATACAAGACAATCAAAAAACAAAAACAAAAGGGTATGCCCATCTCTCAAGTAAGCTGAAATAATCTTACATTAACAAATGCCCCAAAAGAACAAGCATTGTGGAGGAATAACGTAGGGCTTTTCCCTCATATACAACTCTGATTAACCTATAATTTGCTAAATCCCAAGTAAGGATTTATTTAAGTTTCCATTGACATGTTACATTTTCCACTACCAAGTATTACAAGCAACGGAGACCTATCAGCTTCCTGGCATTTTTCAAAGTGCAATGATGAGAGTGTGCATGAAAAAATACAAATACAAATACAAATAGGCTAAACACCGTGCACGCAAATGACAATCCCCGCACCTCCTATCAATTGAGTTCGCCCAGAGGTGAGCGTGGTATGAGAGATGGCTTTAATTCCTTAACTTCAAATGATTCATATGAATGGTTTTCTCGAAACTCCTCTACCAGGGCCTCCATTGGCATGGCTCGAAGAGATTCAATTGTCCCCTTACATGGAACATCTGGCTCACATCTGATTGGTGTTGTGCCGGTTGGCTCATAATCCTGGGCATTATTATTTTAAAGCAATCAGGATATCAACCCAACTATATTTTGAATAGGTCAACAGCAAATATATGCAAGTAATCATGATGAATTCATACAAATGTTTATAATTAGATTAATTTCCTTCTTTTTTTTTGTAGGTAACAAGCAAAGAGAGCTGATAAAAAGCTTGTGAGGAAAAAATCATGTTCTGAAATTTATCCTGAAAAGAAAATGATCGAATTAATCCAGATAGTAATGTTAGTTCTTGAATGCATAATCTTAAATTTTTTTACATTTGGGCTTGCTTAAAATAAGCATAGTCAGGGCAAAGCTATCTTCAGAATTTAAAATAATAATAAAAAAGGGTTACAACTTACAAAAAAAAAAAAAAAAACAACGCTCAATTAGTACACATTAATGTGTGTTTGGGAGAGAGAAGATTCAGTACACACCTAACCTTTGGCATAATGCACAAAGTGGTGGCCTCAAGACTTAAACTCATAACCTTATGGTGTGTTTGGTTGGAGGATTTGGGGAGGGATTTGGAAAGGGAAAGGGAAAAGGTGTGTGTAACTAGGTGAAATTTAGGCATGTTTTATTCATATTTCACCTACCTTTTCCATTTCTCTTTCCAAATCCCTCCTCAAATCCCTCAACCAAACACAACATTAAGGTTACAACTTACAACAGATGGTCAAAAAACATATGTGATTTCATTTCCCTTACCCTGTAAAATTCTAGGCTAAAGCAATCAAATTCAGTCCCCAAACCTTTATATGTATTACATGGACAATAACGCTATGTTTGGATATTGAATTTGTGAAGAGAAAAAGAAAAGGAAAGGAAAAATATAGGAAACAACAATGAAAAATCAAGTAAAAGAAGCTAAATTCCTAGTCATTTGTTTGGTTGGGTTTCAAAAAGGAAAAGAAAATGGCTGGGTATTTATCATTGTTTGTTTGATTACCCAAAAATAATGAATATGCTCAAGTAATTTTATTTCCATTAACCAATCCAAGGCTAACATAGCATAAAGAACAAATAACATAGTTTGTACCACAGTGAAGTGTTGGGATGCGAAAGCAATGGTTTTATCCTTCGTAGAGGCAAAAGTGCTAAGCTTTAAATTCCTTGAAGATGCTTTAAACAGTAGTTTGTCGTTAAAAGTGTGATAGTTTGGGTTCAAGGGGGGAGGCCAAGTACACACATCTCTGCTGAAATTCACTAATCATGCGATCAGATGAGTAAGATGCAAGATCAACATACCATATATTTCTGCTGGAAGGTATCCATGGTTTTTTGTTCAATAGAAGCAGATTGGACAGAGTGATCCTCCCGGAGAACCTCAATAGTATTTGCATGAGCCTTGACTGTGGCCAAAATATCACTTACAGAGGCACACTCTTGCTCTGATACACCTGCAAAAAAAAAAGCAAACTGACAAACATAAAAGAACACTCCTAATTCATTTAAATATAATTCATTTGAATAACACCTGAATAATAAACCCAAAGTAATTCCCTTTACTTTGGATCTGACAAAGACAAGATTCAATCCAAGGACCCCAGTGTGACAACATTGACTAACACATCCAAACAATTAGCTGAAACCTCAAACCCTAATGAACAACGTTTTCTTATGATACATCAATTCCCCAATATTGTGCAATCCACAGATAATTGTTGAAAATTTCCTAATCAAAGGTGTAATTGTCTCCCTACAGTCTATAGGGTAGCCAGCTACAAACAGTTTTTTTTTTTTTTTCAAAAATAGGTTTGTATGATTCGTCTTTAACTATTTACCTTAATAACAATTCAAATCACATTGATACAGGAATACAGTGGTAAATCAATCATTTAAATAATGCTCAATTCTAAACCAAGTCATGTTGTTCAAAAGGACTTAGAGATTTCATTTGACAAAAAACAAACTCAGGATAGACGTCTAACATAACAAGACAAGTTTGAAAACAATTACAAAAAATTGGAAACAAATGGCAAATAAAATTAAACATGAACTATATAGCATACAACTGCACAAGTCAAGATTGTAACAGCACTCACGATCAAAGTGCTGAATGAAATCTTCACTATTGTTCGCCACATCTTCTTCAACTGTAGTCCTTGCCAAAGCAATCTCAGTATCATGTTGCTCGTTACTATCTGACACATCTCTGGAACAAAAAGATGAACAATTAACTCAATACGATATTCATATCATACTGTAGCTAAAAGGTTAGGAACTTAATTACATATTAATCAAATTATATGGCGACCATGTCACTGCCATTATACATACCCAAAACCAGAACCATACATAACTAGAAAAATTCTAAAATTTTCTCCTCATAACACATATTCATTACTTCCAGGTGCATTGACATCAAAGTTACAAATATTAGAAGAGTACTGAGATTTTAATATTCTTCTGTTTCTTGACAAATAAGGTGAGAGCTAACACAACTGACCTGACAAGGGAGACCAATGTCGAGACATTTTGACTTCCAATTTCATTGATGGACTCATGTGTCCTTTTCCAATGCTTGGAAGCTGTTTCAGCAGTGTTTACACTGTCAAGGCAAAACAGAAACAAGCAACAAAGTTAACCAGTAGTAGAATATAATACAAATGTCACTGTCCAAAGCAGAATTAGTACAAGGTCACCAACCAAAAAGGAATGAGGTAAGCAAAGGTCAACATGAAAACAATACAGATACAATAGGATCAAATTAGAGAGCGCTGCAACAGCCATTTCTTACCATTGCTGGAAAAGTAACTCCATACGGCAATGTTTAGCAGCAGAGAAATCAGCACAATCTTTCGCATCATTCTCTGCTTGCACAGAGAACTCCTGCCATTTTCGTTTTGCATCTGTTGTTATACCCTCCATTGAGGAAACATGCCCATCCAAAAATGTCTTATTTCCTATAACAGTATCTTTGAGATGAATGAGCCGTTCATCCACCTATTAGCCAAACCGTTAGTCATTCCTGAGAAGAATACAAAAGCACAAAAATTAGTTAAGACACCAAACAAACCAGCTCTTTTTGGCGACGAATGTGACTAGAAACTAAGTTGGTCACGTCAGCAATAAGCTTCTCTGCATCTGATGTTGATTGCTCCTGCATAAATAAAGCTTAAGTGGTCAAACATATAAATCTTAACATTTTAACTCTACACATAAGATCTAAAAATGTACCTCATAAGCCTTTTGGAATTCTTTGATACTCGTCGTCTGAATTTCATCAACTTGGGTTGCATGACTTTGAAGATTTTTTGACTGTTCAATAAGCTGATGGAGAAATCCATAAGTGAACTCTGAGATATTCTTTGAGTGCTCAACACTTGCATGAAATCTCTGTACAATTCAACAATCATGATGAATAATAAGAAATTTGAAATATATATAGGTTTAACAACAGTAAGACAAGCAGCAAAAGACATTTAGGAAAAATATGTAAAATAAATTGATGTATATTATTGATTTATTGATTACAAGATTGATATATTGTATTACAAATCAGAGTGGCATTATATAGGAGAGGGTTTGGGTAGTAGGTGAGGAGTAGTGGAGTGTAGTAGGTAAGTGTGAGTAGTGGAGTGTAGTAGGTGAGTGTGAATGGTAAATTCTAACAAAATACACAAAAATGTTGAACAATCCTGCAATTTCATTCGCAAATCAACTTATTAAACAACCTCTACATGCAATTCACAGAATTTGCAGAAATTTTTTCAGTACATTAGTGATCAAAGTTGAAACTGCAGGCAACATTTGTCAAAAGGTGCCATGAAAATTTATACTTGGCAAGAAACTAGATATTCTTAAATGAAATGAAATACAATTGAGTCAAACCTGTCGAAGCTCTCTAGCAAAATGTGCCATTTCCCCTTGATGAGTTGATAGAGTGCCTTGAAGATCATCAAAAATAGAATTTGCTTCAACAGCCTCTGCAGCTAAAAACTGATTCCAAAATAACAGTATAAAAGAAAAAAGGAAAAAGCAAAATGTATTAACTTACCGTCTACAACAACGATGCCAATATAATGAAAAGCTTTGTAGATCATAAGATGCAGGAAAAAATGAAATTGCTGCTACCTACTTGTTCGATAGAATGTATATTAGAAGAAACTGAAGCTGAAATCTCCTCCACAGCTGCATTAGAGCTCGCATTGTGCAGGCGAACAACATTTTGCATAGCCTCCATGTGAGAAATATATAGTGCCCTTGAAGCAGTCATCTTTTTCTTCAAATCAATGACAGCCTATGAAAGGAATTTTGTTAAAATCAAGTGTGTTGAAACTCAATCTCATGCAAAACAAGTACTTATGAGCTGGTGGCAAATTAAAATATAGTAATACAAGATTGACATATGTATAGAGAGAGAGAGAGAGAGTAGAATAACAAGATCTGCAAAAATAAATACCTTATTGTGAATGGCCAAAAAGAAATGACAATGTTTCTCAATGCACTGAAGGTGTTCACCTTGTCGAGACATTGATATTGCCACCGTATTACAAAGGGAGCCTAGTTGCTGTGCAAGCTCCGTTTGAAAATCGTTCACAACTGACCTGTTATCAGCATTCAGTTTGTCTTCTCTTGCTACAAAAAATCACATCATAGCACCAGTCAGGAATTTATGTCAGCAATCAATTTAGTAAGTTATAACCAACACTACGTACCAATTTTCAAATATAATGAAGCATTATCCTGCAAAGATTTCTCCAAGTCAGACCGCAAGACACTTGCTTGATGAGCCAATGCATTTTCTGTTCCAATTATTCGGCAACATTATTGAGAAGCAGCTAGCAAAGAAATTCCAACAACAGAAATATTCAACCATACCTGCTTTCTTCTGCTCGGAGATAATAAAATCACACTCCTTCAGAGCATACTGACACCTCCTTAATTCTTCTTCAGTGCTAGCCAGCAATTTGCTTGTTTGGTTCAAGTTTTTCTGCAAAACTTTCAATTGTACGATAAGAATCTAAGGATGAATCCTTAAACCATATATAACCACATACGGATACAACTTACCTGGGTGGCATCAAGTTTGTTGCTTAAATCAGAGCCTTTTTGAACCTGATCATCAAATTTATCTTGCAATTCCTCAAGTTGCTGGTCATAGCAAATCAAGTATGGGAAGTGAAACAAATTAACACACAATCACATGATAGACCAAATTCTATTATTTTTACAGTTGCTTAAAAAAAACTGACCTTCTGATTAGTTTCTATTGTAACCACCATTTGTTCAATCTGATCGGCCATTGCCTAAACATGATGAAGGAAGATAAAAGATTAAGAAGAGACTGTTAGATACATAGACATCGGAAAATCAATGGTGGAACGGCAAACGAAACCTATATCAAAAGTTATTTATCAATCCAGGGACAATTTGACCTATGTACTAAGAAACTACCATGGTACTGATCATAAAAAATTTACTGAATAGTCAACCACACAACAGCAATACACTTGCTAACAGCAAATGAATCTAATTAGTGCATTGTCGAGTCTATTAATGGGCAAGACTTAGGTTCAATGATTGCAAATAAATATCATTTAAGTACAGTGCTGCTTAAACAGGGAAAGAAAAGAACAAAGGATGAGACCAGTGCAGTACCTTCTTTTCACTCTCCTCCTGATAGTATCGTTCCTTTGGCATATAGACACCATTTTTCTCACGTGCAGCATATACCTCTGGATAGTGAGGAATAAATAAAGAATAAATTCACTAAAAAATATAGCTAGAATAAGTAAATGAATAATCTATAAGTATCTCTTTATCAAAAACAGGAATCCCAAAGGTTTTTACCTGCCTTAAGTCGTTCAATTTCACCATAAAGATCCTTTATAAGGGTTGATTTCATCATTTTCTGGTTGACCTATAAAAACAGTAAAATAATATTAAAAGATCATTTAAAAATTGAAAACCAAAATTTAGTTTAAATGCTTAAATGCACTGGCCCACTCGTTTAGACCATCAAGATCTACAACACAAAGGTAATCCATGCCAACAGATATATGACAAATGCATATTGCACCCATCCAAGCTGAGCTCTTCGTAGACTGGTTCTTTGTGAAATTAAAACATTTATAGCACTTTCATCCAGGAAATTACGAGGAACATGGTACAGCATTCTTATACATTTTCCACTTAACGATAATGCCAACATGACTAGCAACAAGGTACAAAATTCATCAACAAAATTCCACTTAGAGATAATGTCAGCACTTGATGAGTTTAAAAAATAAAATTTTGTTCCCCACACACCTGGAGAACACAATCTTTGTTATGCACAAATAGTAAAGTATATAAACCAGTATGTCAAGGTGTGTGCATGTACATATATGTTGACATAGTGGGTGTTTGGGAAGTGGGTTTTTTTGTAGGTTTTTTTAGTTGTAGGATATTATTGGAGAAATTTTTTTTTGTGTTTGGGAAAATAGTTGGGTTTTTTTGTAGTTGGATGTGATGTTTGTGAGAGAAAAAGTAAAATGATTATGGGATTTTATGTGATATTTTTGTTTGGATTTGTTTTTTTTGGTTTTGTAACCAATTTGTCTTTTAGTGAAAAAAAACCAAAAAACAAACTCCCCAAACACCGCCATACTTCAGTAACACAAACCAATCTAATAATGATAAGAAGCTAACTCAGTCGAAGAAACACTGGGGAAAATAAATAAGATTAATTGGTTTCCAAAAAAAATTACAAATAAAAGAAAAATCTAGAAAGCAGATGAAGAAATGCACTCAGGAAACCAAAGTCATGGAAAAATAATATTCCAAAATCAACCTCAGGCTTGTTTCTAATATGTTTTGCCCTATGAGCATAGTCCAGGGTACTCAAGGTCTCCTCCAGACAATGGACTGCAGGTGATACTGTGGCAATAATGCATGTCTTAGTTCTTCCACCCAGCGAATCACGAAGCAGACGGGTGAGCTTGCTATCCCTAAATTCCAATTTAAAATAGTAAGTATAGAAGAACAAAAAAATTTGAAACGGACATGAGAAGAAGCTAAAGATCTCTGGAAAACTTTAACCTGTAGGGGACATGCCCAAGATGCTCCACAAGAGCACTAATAACTCGTCCAAGAGTTAGCAAACTTTTGTTTATCTCTCCTGCCTCTCTTGCACGACCCTAGGAATTAGACACTCATATTAACTAAAAAGACAGATATAACAAATTGATTATCCAATTTTACCCAAGCTAAAATGACAAAAGAAAGAAAAAGAAACTTAACTATAAAAAAATATTGTTTCTAGTCATTTGTAAATGTCAAAATACCTCCCTAGCACCAGAACGAGAAATATTTTCTGAACCAGCTAAATCAACCAAATTCAGTTTGCCACATTTGATAAGCTCTTCACCTTCTGGGGTTGCTTCTTTGATGTGTATGGTTATGGAAAAAAGGGAATGTGACCGACTGAGAAACAAAATATATTAACAAACAAGAAGATTGGATTCTGATTATGACTACAAAGACAATGAAAGAATAATGACCTTGATTGTTTGTTTAATAGAGTTTCTGCGGTGCGACGTTTTGCGGACCCTCTTTCAAGTAGAGTAAAAATCTCACTAGCACTTGTTACAATTTCCTCCTCCAATCCTCTTACAAGAACACCGCCTTTCCCATCTTCCATGAGAGGCAACTGTTTTTTCTGCCTATCCTCCAACGCAACTCTCGATATCTCCTCAGGGGCAAGCAAGTCAGTGATCTCCTCATTATACAATTCTAAGAAAGTAACTTTAACACTGTATTCTGCATTTTGACTCTCCAACGTGTCAAAAATTTGCTTCACAGCTCTAGGGATGACACCAGCTTCTGGAGGCAAGTCTCCATTAGGTCCATTCTGTCACGAAAAGTAGACATGGTATCAGAACTTGAACTGTATAGTATAGCAAACTCTAACAAGAACTAACCACATAAACAACATTACCTTTGACCTCTTACATTCTCCTTCCATGGTGTAAGTTTTTCCTGTACCAGTTTGTCCATAAGCAAAAATGGTACAATTGAAACCCTCCAAAACTTCATTAACAATGGGAATAACTGCTTGATCATAAAGATCTTTTTGCTGAGCTGAAGGACCAAAAACCTACATACAACATGAATTTAATTAGTATGTAAATCAAAAATCGTACAAGTTAATGTTGGTGTGCTATGTATGATTCCTCGTAAGTATTGGACACTAACCACTCGACGGCGAATCCACCACGAATTTTTTGGAGTAAGTGTATTATGATATTTCCGCACTTGTGACATGTTGCCCTAATTTTCTACGTATTTAGTTGAGGTGAGGCAGCTATAACTACATAGAAAACAATGAATCTTTCTTGTACATAACTATCACACTTTAACTAAAAACAACATATTTATAGTTGGCCTAATTTTCTTATCTATTTTTCTCTAGTGTCCTGTTGCAAACAATGAATTGAAAAACTATGACAATAATCCCAGGCCAAATTTCAATATTAATGCATACACCTTAACATGGCCTCATTTGGTGTAGCTGTTAAAACAAATTATAGATTATGACTTTAATCAAAAGTTGTTAATCTGTTTGGTGTAATTGTTGGATTATAAATTTAAGTTGCTGAGTAGTATTTGTTAAATAAATTGTGAAATAACTTTTTCAATTAACTTTTATTTTTTGTCATTCACTACTTGTCTACATTTCTTATAAAAAATAATAATAATATTCTATATTCTATTTGGGTCTTTTTCTATTTTTAAAAAAATAAAAAATAAAAAAATCTAAGAGTATAACCGTAAATTAGCATGTCCACAACAGAAGTTGATAATCAGAAGCAAGGGTTGAGCAACTTCTCAAAATTAGCTTTTTTGACTTAAAATAAGTTATTAGAATCAGAAGCTGTTTGAAATAAGTTTAATCAAACAGTCCAAAATAGCTTTTCAAAAGTCATAAGCTTTATTAAACACCCCTATTGATAAAGGCTTAACTTTCAAGGTTCAGTCGCTTAAATGGGATGCAAAGTCACAATCCAAATATTGAGTTAAAATTGATTTCTAAATACATAATTTTCTTGCCGCAGTATATTTCAATGCTATCAGCCTTACTCTCTTATTATTCAAGTTTCCAAGAAACTTAAGAATCTGTCTTTCAAGTTATATGTTGAAAAAACAGTGTCTTCAATCACATTGGAGGAATCATATGGAACTAGCCTATAACCTTGTTTTGAAAATCAATACAATCTATTACGAAGATGCCACTGCTCCTTACATATTGATGGCGTAAACGGAATAAGAAACAAATTTCCCACTCCACCTATAACTTATCAAATGAACTACAAAAAGCAAATCTCATCTACAAATTACAACAAATTAACTAAAAATAAAAGCCCTTTTTTAAAATCAAATACCTTGTCGAATACGAAAACCCTATCGATGTGTTTCCCCGCAATGTTCTGAGAAACTGCGACTTCTCTCTGGTACTCATTGCAAGTCACCACCTGTGGCGCATTGTTCCGCAACTCTTCTTCACTAAATGGCCTGAAACAAACAAATATACATCATAAATCATAAATTAGATAAATTCACACTATTGTCAACAAGATTCGGCAACAATCTCAATAAATAAATAAAAAAGAAGCGAAATTTCTAAAGAGGGATTGGATTAGTGATTCACAACCTGAGGAAATCCTAAACCCTAAAAATACTACACAGGGCAGACGCTTACACAGGTATATATATACAAGGAGAGAGAGAGAGAGAGAGATTGGCACCTGCAACGAAGAAGGACTTGAACATTGACGCCTTTCTCTTTCTCGTGGCGACCAGACATTTTCGAACTAAGCTAAGAGAAGAGAATCGAACACTGTTACTCACAGATTTGATTCTCTCTCGTCTCCTCTCTGCTCTCTCTCTCTCTCTCTCTCTTCCTTTTCCTCTCTCTACACTCTCTCTCTCTCTCTCAATTCTGAACTCTCTTCCTTTTCCTCTCTCTACACTCTCTCTCTCTCTCTCTCTGAATTCTGAATGAGAGCGGGATCGGAGCGAGATTTGAAATTTGGGAGCCGCTCTCATTCCTTCGATCCAACGGCTGCTATCTGATAAGCGTAGATCTGACGGTTTGTGCGATGTTGAAATTCAAGTTACATTCATGTGACCGAATTAGCCCTATATTTTTAAATTCCAATTTTGAACGATTGGAATAAGTTATTTTAGTTAGTTTTTGCTATTTTAATTTGGCTACAAAAATTAGGTAGTATTTACTACAATTTTAGAATTATGATTGGGAAAATTAGCCTAAGGCCCCTCTCTCATTTTTAGTAATGTAAGAGATCCACAATATTATTTTATGAAGTCTAAAGTTCCTTAATCCCATACTCATATATCACAGAGGAATTTGACTCTCCCAACCATGGCACTCAATCTCTGACAAAGACAAACCAGTATCTCTCTCTCTCTCTCTAAATCTATCGATCTAATTTTGTTGATATTCATTCATTCATATATGACTTTTGATTTGCAAAATGCATAAATCAAATGTTGAAACTGAACCAACCAGTGAATTCAAGTAGAACAGCGAATGAAGAAGTTTACATGATCTTGATCTACTACAAGTTCTGCCAAGACATTCTCTCCCCTCTCATCTACGTCAAGGACCTTCGCAAGCACAACGTAACCCTATACTTCCTCATCGATGAGTGCAGCAAGCTTGTCCACGATATCCTCACCATTCGTGACAGTTTCATGATCTCACGAGCACAACTGGGCTTCATAAGGCTATATGAAAATGGAAGAGAAAACAAACCAGCAGGCAGAAAGACGATGTGATAGTGTGATTATAGCATGTCGGAAAAAGGTTTAAAAAATGGGCCACCCACCTACTTTTTGTATGATGCTCCAAAGTGGAGTCCCGTATACTTTAGCGTTTACCACATTCCTTCAGAAAATGTATCCTATGTATGCATATTTATGTCGAGTAATCTTTATTTATATTATTACGTGTTCTCATATTTGAGTTATTAAAATTTGGTGGGATGATAAAAGGAACTGAATTATGGAAGTTGGAAGAAAATATAAGAAAATGAAATACTTAGTAGACAATTATGGACAGTGCTTAAGTTCAATTAATATGAAGGAACTTGATTTAACTTTTATGGGATTTACATGCTGGCATTATTGAGGAGAGTATTATGGACAGATTGAATGTGGAAAAATTGTTACTATAGTGTCATATTAGTGTAATGTAAGCATAAACTATTCATATTATTGTAGTGCAGAATTTGTCCTATAATATATCTCTTAGACTTTCTCTTCATGAGTATGATAGCATAGCTTACCAAGTTTTTTTTTTTTGGTCTGTACTTTTTAATCTACAGCACATCTCTCAATCACAGTAATCTTCATTGATAGAACTGATGCTTGCCCACTATTATAATTTTTGTTGATTTTATATTCTGTAGAAGTCTGCTAATAATTAGGAATTATAGAATTCTGTTATTACCTTATGTGCACACATACATCTGAGTAAATTCAGGGGTTGTTTAGGGTGTCATAAATAAGTGCACTTTTTGTCTTTTTGGACTAAAAAGTTGAGGAAAAAAATATAGGGTATGTTTGGTTTGTGTTTGAGAGATGTGTTTTAGAGATAAAAAGTACGAAAAGTTGTTTGGTTTGGTTTTTTTCAAAAGATGTTTTGGAAAATTATTTTGAGAGAAAGTTTTGGAAAAAGTGATTGATTTGATGGGTGTGAGAGAGAGATTTGTTTAGAAAACTTGTTTGGTTTACAAGTTTTGAGAAATTTTTTTGAAAAAATTTGTTTGGTTTGATTACTTTTAAAAACTTATTTGTAGAGAAAATTTTCTAAAAATTTTTCAGAAATACAAACCAAACGAACCCATAGATGTTTGAGTTAACTTCTTGACTTTTTATGAAAAAATGTGTATTAAAAAATTGTATAAAGAAGTGTGTAAGAGAAGATTGGAGAGGTGTGGGTCACAGCCGTACAATCTGCACAAGTGAAATGGAAGTAAGAAATTATTGGCTACTTTTCGGGCATTGCACTGGACGGTTTTGTTCGGCCCGTGGGGGTCATCACGGGTCCCATTTTGATAATCTGAACAGTCAATATGTAGAACTCGTCGAGTACTATATGTCTCTAAAAAATCACGTTGATTGGATATCGATAGCTATCTGATCAGATTTGTTTTTTGTCAATCGTCAATTATAACACCATCCATTTGTTGTACATAACTGATTTGATCATGCAGTTATCGATATCCGATCAATATGATTTTTTACAAATACATAGTACTCAACGAGTTCTACACATTGACGGTTCAGATTATCAAAACGGGACCCGTGATGGCCCCCATGGGCCGAACAACAACCATCTAAAATTACACCCAATCATTTCATTTTTGTCAACAAACGCAGCACAGCAGCTGCACATAGATGATATCAAAGTTGTACTTTTGTTTAGAAAATTGATTTTTATTATTATTATTTTTTTGTGAATAGTGACAACTTTTTAATTTTTTGAGTAACTTTTTTACTTTTTGTCCTTTTTAGGCTATGCCAAACTAACCCTTAGTGTGCCTATGTTGAAATTTATGTTTTTTTGTTATTATTTCAGGCTGCTTTCTTAGCAATGAATAGTACTAGAGGAAAACTTCTAGTACTTCAGTCTGGCAAGTTCATGACCTTTCCATCATTGAATTTTATGTGTTTGGTATAAACAACAACGAAATTGCTAGCCCATACCATATCTGTTTTTTATGTTGCCAAGTTCTCAGTCATATCGTGCCCGCACAAAACCACACAGATTTTCTCTACACAATTTTCCCTGGATGGAGCCACACAAAGCCACACAAATTTTCTCTAACACAAATTTCTTTGGATAGAGGCACACAAAGGCACACAAAATTTCTCTACACAATTTTCTCTAGCTTTCTTTGGTATTGAGAGAAATTTTAATTTTCTCTGGTTGAAAGATGATGAATGGAGCCTTATGAATGCACCCTGTAATAAATTACAGATTTATAGTCCAGAGAAATTCTCAACAACTCAAATTTATAGTCTAGAGAAATTCTCAATAATAATGAACCTTGTGAACTAGAATTTATCTGTGAAGTCCAGAGAAAATTCGACCAGAGAAATTCTCTGTGAAGTCTAGAGAAAATTGAACCAGAGAAAATCTCAATGAACTAGAATTTCTCTGCGAAGTCCAGAGAAATTCTCTAGATCGAATTTTCTCTGACTAGTTGAGTCTAACTGATTCAATTTTCCCTTTCTACAGCTTGTATTATATCTGTCAACTACACAAATGATGTGTTCTTGTACATGCATGCTTTTGGTATCATTGTTGTTTCTTGGTAATAAAGTTTGTGCATCATTTGTGCTGTTTAGTTACTGATATACAGTTTTTTAGGTGAATGTTTTATGATTAAACCCTGTGCTTAACTTGTGTTGTCATGTCATTCAAAATGCTCTAGACTTCTAAAAAGAAAAGGAAAAAATGTTTTCTTGATTTAGGTGTAATATCTATATATTATGTTTGCAATAACTGTTTACTTAGTTTTTCATAGCTCTTTATTGCAACGTCGTAACATTTTGCAATGCCCAGAGTGAATGTTTTCTGATTTGTCCAAAGAAATTTGGTGTTGGTTCAAAGAAATTTGGAATTTTCTCTATGATTTGTCCAGAGAAATTTAGAATTTTCTCTGTGATGTGTCCAGAAAAATTTGAAATTTTCTCTGTGATTTGTCCAGAGAAATTCTCTGGATCGAATTTTCTCTGGATTGGTATTGAGGGACCTTAGACATTATGAAAATATTGAGTGCCCTTTATGCTATAAAATCTTAATACTAGGGACCTTAAAAAAAATCTCCATTATGATTTTATAATAGAGTTATATTTTAAATTTATGAGTTTTAAAATTATGATTTGAGTGTGAAAATTTATTTGTTTATGAGTTTTGAATTGAGTTTGAAATTTTTAACGTGACATATGATATTTAATTCAAAAATTCACAACTCATAACAAAACATGCAATCCAAAATTCTACTCAAAACTCATAAAAAAAAATTAAAAAATTTGGAAATATTTTTTTTATCTAAAATACAAAAATAACAAGTGAAATTTTTTTTTTATCTAAAAAAAAAAAAAAAAAAAAAAAAAAAAAAAAAAAAAAAAAAAAAAAACTATTTTGGTTAATTGGCCAGATGTCCGGAGAACATCCGAAAGGATGACCGAGTAGACATGTTTTTAAAAGTAGGTGTGAAATCAATTTTTTAATACGCTATCCAAACAAACGGTTCAGGTGAAGGGGTGAAATCAACTTTCGAAAATTGCACCAAACAGAGCCTTATGTTTTGAATTATAATTGATTTTTTTTAATAATTAATTTGATAATTGTGAAAGAAAAAATTAAATATTTATAATTTTATTGTAACATTTTATTTTATTAACTATTTTAATTCAAATCATACTTTCCAAATAAGGCCAAAATATGGCAATGCATAGCCAATATTCTAAAAATAAAATGCTTAAGTCTATAAAATGTATCTTTTAAATTTTTGGGAAAAGTGGGTGGTTGGGGCACTTTATTACAAAAATATGAGACCTTTTTATGTGATGTAACTTTTTTTTATTTTATTTTATTACAGAGAAAAAATCTACACTCATGCATTTGTAATTATTTTTGGCTAAATAGTCTGATTTGCAATTTTTCTCTAAACTATCTTAATTGTGTTGACCATGTGTTTTGTTTAGAATCTAAACAATTAAAACTTATAATCTCCTATCATGTTAATGTAAATGAATTTAAGAATAATGTTTTAAATTTTAAAACATTACTTTCTCTACACTAATTCTCCATCGTTTGGAAACTTAAAACTTTATAAAAAATTACTATAAATTATCATACTCTTTTTCTTTTTTATTTTTTGCTTTTGTTTTGTAAAAAATCAA